CACGGTGGTAAGTTGAGACGTTTAAGCGTGTACTGTTCATCTTTTTTCTTTTTTTTATTGTTTTAGGCTACATAATCAGTCAAGATTTACTCGAAATGATGGAAAATATCCGTGATGTTTATCGTCAACTGTGTAATGGCTACAATGAGTTCTGTATCACATCGTCTCGAAGAATTAGGCATCAGTCTACTCTATCGAGTTATCATACGACAAAGCGAGCACAACTGAGTACTGTGACATCCATTCAAAAATTAATCTCAGTCGAACAAGAAAGAATTCAAAATATTCAGACAGTGATTGATAGCTATAAAAAGTCGATCGATGAAATATACGTCACTGCTCATTTCACTCATCAGCGGCAACATTATCGAACAAAAGACATCAAACGACAATTTAAAGAAGCTCAAAGTTCATTGAATGATTGTACTAAACGATTAGGTCAATTGAGGGAAGCTATTACCAAAACTCGTGAAAGTCTAAAGCAAGTCGATTGTGCTTTGGAAAATATGATGTGCAATACATCTAAATTCGAAAAACATCGATCTACACTCGTCAGGAAACAAACGCGGCGAGTTGAAACTGTCCAAAAAATCGCTGAACAAATCAAACTCGCTCAAAAAGAACATTATGAACTCGAGATTACTTGGCACAAAAGGGCGACATCAATATTTGATGAATGTCAAAAAGAAGAATTAAAACGATTAGATTTAATTAAGAAAACACTGTATGATTTTTCGCAAGCGGTTCAGGTCAAAGATCAGAGAAAATTAGAGCACATTTATCATGACATGACTCATGATATTCAAATCAAACAAGATTCATTAGCAGATATCACATGGTGGGCAAAAGCTTATGGTATAATTGATTTTGACGACTGCTTCACACCATTGAAAATACATAGAAATCAGTCAACAAATGATAATAATGAAAATGAAGAGGAAGAAGAAGACATCGAACTTGACGCTATTGTGTGAAACTGAGCATGTTTTATATTTTTTCCACTTAGATCTGACTTTTCTTGTGTCTGAATGTAGATTACTACAATATGTACATTTCGTAAATGCTACATTTTTTTCATAGATTATATTTGCCTTTATGTTACGAAGACTTCATATCACATTTATTATCAAAATAAAGAGCTGTGTAGAAGAGGTGTTCATGATAGACTGCGATAAGGTGCTGAAGATGAATCGAAAGACTGGTACTATTTACGTGTTCTACCCATTTCAAATAAGAGTTTTTGATTCAATCAAGTACTCTTTATGACATATGTCAGTTGTCAATAGTGTTAATCTGACTAAGAAGGGAGAAAGTGTAGAATGTCAAGAGATTTTATGGTTAGATTCACTTTAATGTTATCTAAAACAAGCCTGATATACTGATTTACCGGCTTATTGAATTATTCAGACGTAGTCCACTACTCTTTAACCCACTGTGACACCTCCTTTGTAAGATCCAAAGAGCTATGTGATACTCACACATATGTTTCTGAAAGGGGTTTTGTAGAAACCCAAAGTAAATTTTTTCTTGAATCCAATTTTTGTTTCGAACAATGTTCACTACAAACACGTCAGATGTTGTCGTACTAAGATGATTAATATCGAGGGACAAGGCATCACATCATTTTTGGAATGGAAACAAAGAATGTGTTTGATATGACATAGATACAAAAATGCGTTCTTTCTGTATAAAACATCCGCACGGACAATATGTTGATGCCTTAATAAATTCAATTGTTATTAGGTAGTTATTCTTCAGGGACACCTCTAGAAATTAAATCGTTAGAAAACGGAAGTTAGTATCCATTTTCTTTCCCACAACAAGCGACAGTTAGCTGAGAGTTTGAGTCCGGTTCCTCTCAATGAACTCCGTCTTATGCGGTTCCCACTTTTAACCTACACAAGAATAAACTGAAAATATGTATATGAAAGTTCTATTGTTCGCTTTTTCATTTTTCGTGAACATCCAAAATATAACTGCATCTAAGTGGATGGCCTCTACCGTTCGTAATTAGAAATATATAGAACAAAGTCGCAGCCGGCTGGCTGCATTATATTGCGCTTTGAAATTTTTCTAAAATAGAACACTTTAGTAAAATAGAACATACCTCTTAAACTCTAGTTCAGATCACCATATAAATTTCTTATGATTTTTATTTATATGTATTCAAACAGTCAGATACTGATAGTTCCTAAATTTTTTATTTATGTATTTCTGATGTGTTTTATATGCCAGCTATTTTCGAAGAGTTTCTGCAATGAATCCATCCATATATTTCTAAACATGTACCTGGAAGTGTCGAAGTGGAGGTATATGTCGGGGGAGGGTGAAAGTTGACATAAGAGTGAGTCACGATCCTTACCTGATCTAGATAGTGACCTGAACTAGTTAGAAAATAATAGGGTATTCGCAATCGATCGTTACCTAACCTAGATGGTGACCTGGAGTAATGAGAGAAAAGATAAACATCGTAAGTCTATAGCCAGTATCAAGATACGTTGCATACCGAAATAGTAAAGAATAATTCAGTTCGCCGCGAATGCGAATTTTATATGATCTCCTGCGCGAGACAATAGTTAATCAAAAATTAGCCTGAATATAGTAGTATCGTCAAGAAAGTAGGATTTTGATAACAGTTATTGAAGTTATAATTGAAAACGACAGATACCCTAGATCTACATGATGTCAGCTACAGATTCGCAGCTAAAAAGTAAAAAATAGAAAATCTTGTGAGATATCGAGTGTGCTGATTACAAAAAAGCATTTTCCACGACTTTGCATGAACTTTAGTTTTCTGCCGGTGACATCGTTACATGTACTGCATACAATACATGCGGCTTGTGTAAAAACTATTGAAGTTACTGGAAGAGATTGCTTAATATTATGCTGTATAAGACTCACTCTCACCTTACCAGCTCCGCCCCTTTCCTCCAAATTACATTTCACACTTTGAATCATCCTAGAATCCCAGCAATACGAAAACGTGTAGCTTTGAATCTTGTATCCTAGAATACTAGTATCATTGTGTTAGCATGTTTTAGTAATACCCATTGTGATGAGTCATTATCACGAAATGCGTCATTGTGATTCTGTGACACGTGCCAATTTTTGTCTTGTCCACAATCACGGCGATTCTCTTTTATAACTAAGCAAAACTTAAATGAGCACAGTCTATGATTGCAATAAATGTATTTTGCTTTGTAAAATGGTTGTTGTGAAGTTTTGTTTCTTCCTAGTTTACTACTCTTTAACCCACTGTGACACCTCCTTTGTAAGATCCAAAGAGCTATGTGATATTCACACATATGTTTCTGAAAGGGGTTTTATACAAATCCAATCTAGTGCAGGGAAAGCGTTAGTTGATTGACGATAGATGATGCAAATATGAGTTACAATGGAACTTAAGGTAGCAGTTTGTTTAGAAATGGCCGATATTTGCTCTTTGAAAATCTTGACGGTGTTTGTATTAATAGAAAACATCCGCCAGGCTTTAATCGGTTATGGGATGACATTTTGTTTCTAAGTTTAAAAATTATGCAATTATGCAACCTCGAAAAAACCCCAATAGTTTTTCTAAAGAAGTCACGACTATAGCCCGCGAAAGTCTGATTAAAACGAGACATCTCCCTTCTCTGCACGATCTTTCTTGCTAAAGTTATAGAATTTATAAGCAAAGCTCGAAATTAATTTCTTCCTGTTTCGGTAGCTTTGAGCTGACAATGAACGTTAGAAGCTGTCCTTGTAAATTCTATAACTTTGGAAAGAAAGGTCGTGTAGAGCTAAGAGATGTCGCATTTTAATCGGAAATGTACGGGCTACAATTATGCCTCACTACGAAAGATTTGGACTCTCTTTTAGAGTTTCTGAAAAACTGGTGTTCCAGAAAAACGATCTCTAGAGACCTAGACGCCCAAACCACTATGATATTCGGATTCAGCACAGTCGATTACTTATTGTTCACCAGGTTTCGTGAAAAAGCGATGGGATAGTTAGAGTGGTTTCCTCGTAAGTATAATCATAAGTAAATAGACAGAAACAGCACGAACATTGTTTCACACTCTCGTCGATTCGTTCATGAGTTCTATTAGTTTCGTCAATGGAAATATCGTAAAAGAACTGAAAATAAAAAATTCGCGCAGAAATTCGGACATAGACCACAATGCGCTTATTCAAATCTCTATTTGGTCACAAATAAGAGACCGAAAGTGTTGTAAGCTCATTTTGTCGACGAATAAATTGTAAAGTGTTTGTTTTAAGTAATAGTAGGTGCCTGTTTAATCACGAAACCATATCTCTTACTGGATAACGCGTAAATAAATTCGTGCGTTTATCCTTTTTCACTGCTAAAACTGGTAAAGGTTAAGTTCATCATGGCGCCTTCTGATGGTTACGAAAGAGCCACCGTACCCTTCAGCTTCGACACTTTTTTATTAGAGAATACAAACAGTTAATTTTTTCAACGGACGATAGATTATCTGACTTATTGTACATGCATACATATCGAGAAATAAGCTGACAAATTCAATTAGTGGAATATCTAGTTGCCATGCTTTATCGTTTCTTTCTCTCTGTCTCTATCAAATTATGTAGATATTATGCTCCTTTTACTATTAAAGTAACTAAAAAGATAATGGACGTATAGTATGAAGTTAAGGTATGTAATTAATTTAATAGCCTAAAAATTTTTTTCTCTTGTTTTTATATTCAGATTGGTGATACAATTATTATCATTCGCAATTGTATTTAATATAGTTTATGCAGCAACTATTGCAAATAAAGGAGCAACAGTTTCAACACCAGTTGCCGTCGAAAATGATGATGAAGTAGGTATTGAAGAAGAACAACGGCAAACAAAATTTCTTCATAATTCACCTAAGAGTCGACGTGATGATTCATCATCACCAGGAGGAAAAAAGTTGAATATGCAGTCCACAAATGTACGATCGGAAAAACGACGAGACAACCAAGGCGATTCTCCTATTCCCGATTCAGCTGCTTCAGGTAGAACATATCCTCTCTTTATTGATCGTTAATGACTCTAATTACTAGACTTTCTATTACAGCTGCGTCTGATTCGGGTATGAACGTTTACTATTAATTTCTTTTCGCTATATCCTCTACACGTCTTCACGTTCTTTTCAAATTTTTTAGGTGCAGTATCGAGTGGCAGCACAAGTAGCGATAGAAAAGGTGGGGAAGGAAGTAAGGGTTTCTTAAGTATGGAAACGTTTAGAACGTTTTAATAACGGCAAAACTAAGTTTCGCATTATTATCTATCGCTAGGTAGTCTGGATGAAGCTGGTGAAGAACATACATTACGTACAAAATTGAAATCAATGCTAAGAAGAATTCTGTCACCGGGTGGAAGTACGTCATCAATGATGATAATGATTTAATGGTATTCCTATTTACTATTATTATTATTTTTATTTTTATTAGGAGGTCTCCACAGTGATATACCCACTTATGCAATACATCATTCACATAATTTCTATGAACCACACTATGGACATCCGCATGGGTTCTATCGACGACATTGGGGACACAGAGGACGATTTGGTTACCGTAGATATGGTATGTCTTAGTTGTCAGTTATTCTTATAAAAAAAGGTTATAAAAGAATAGTTTTATGAAGTTTTGATAGCCATTGTCTGACTTTCACTTCAAACCTGGAGACTTATCGTCTTTGGAAGAAAGTAAAATTTCATCAGGAAAAAAATCTTAAACTAGCTGTATGGTGTTCTGGAAAAGATCGATATTTTCAGTAGAAATTGAGAATTTTCATCAGCGTAGGTTAATTGTTTCTCCAAGAAAACGGAACTAACAATCGCCGTTTACATAAGAAGTTCTACTTGGCAGTAGTATATTCTAGTAAGATTGATCAGGAGGGAGGAAGTTGAAAGACTAGTTTTGTTAGTTAGTTCTATCATCGAATTTATAAAATGAGACTTTACAATTGAATTTCATAAATGGAAATAAACATTCGCTTTAAAGTGTAATAAAATGCTGAATTTTGACTCGATATAACATAGTGACGTTTGACATACTTCGTTCCAATTTAACGTACAAGCATTTTCTAAACAATCATATAACTCTAAAAACTTTCAGTGCTAGTTTGCTAGTACATTTCATTAACAGAAAACGGCGATACCCTATCTATTTTGTTTTTTTCTTCTTGATGATATTCGAGATTTTGGTTTTCTTTATCTTCAACGTCTTTTAACCCTTTACCCCCCCTTGGTCACTGGAGTGACCATTTGTAGAACAATTGCAGAAACTAAAGGAAGCATCGGATTCAAAAACGATAAGAACCTTTTCTGTAGGAAACTTCATGGACTATCGCTTGGTAAAAAGAACATTTCTCTTCATTGCTTCGTTACTGAAATATCGGGTCTACAAAATCAATAATTTTGAAAAAATGAAAAAAATCGAAAATTTTGAAACAAAATGTTCTCTACTAGTAGCCAACAGAGATTTTTTGGAATTGCTGTGTGATATTAGTTGATGAAGAAGCCCTCTAGTGAATTAATTATGTTTCGAAAGTTTCATAAGAACTTCGCGAATTACACATACAAAGGGACACAACTGAACATGTAGCCACTATGTGGCAGATGGAGGGCAATCAAGTACAGAGTTAATACATGTATTATAAAGCTCAACTCATGACAAGTCGAAATCGTATTTATGAATAATTACATTTCTTCAGAGGTTATAAAACGGCTCAGAGCAAACTAGGCTATAACTTGACAATACGTATAAAAAATACATGTATTCTTTGGTTTTAAATTTTATCGGTTCACTCCTTGCCTTTTTTCCGTTACTCTAATAGCTCGAGGTAGGTGTTGCTTCGGCCCACTCAATAATGTGGTCGAAGAAATCAAGTATTACAATGTAGTTTAATTCTCTTCCTCCACCACAGGATTGTGGAATCAATCAAATCGCCCTACTCTAGGACCAGGACATTCGGTGGATCAGACCGCACCATTGGCATACTAGGGGGGCTAGTACTCTATTAATAAAGTTATTTTGTCAGTGGCTCTTCTGGAACTGCTATGGGGGGTAAAGGGTTAAAATGAAATAAAATTAACTATATTTTTACGTGTCGAAAGGGGTATAATTAAGTGTCGGTATGATAATAACCATGATGCTTATGCATAAAAACGTTATTTACGAGACTTTGATTAATCTGCAAGCAAATGAGGCTGATACTGTTCAGAGATTTTGTTTTTCTTGCGAAACTTATTCATACTGTATGTGTACTTTCCCTTTGATAAAACACTCACCTATACTCTTAATTCATGATGAGATTTTTGTCAACAATATTCTACGAACTATTTCAATATTTGTGCTTTCAATAATTAGAAACTAAATTTGTGAAACAGTGAAAGGCTCGATAACAGTCTCTTTTCAGATAGACGTTTATATCATACTGCATCTCAACAGTTTATCTGCCATTTTTTTCCTAAACTTGATGAAATCGAATCAGTATGATGAAATGTTATTTATAGGAGGTCATATTGGCATGGGTTATCATTCTCATGGAACTGAACCATGGGCAATCGGTGCCCATCCACATAGTAATGTTATCTATTTTCTCTTGGGTAACACATAACACTGTTGTCTTTTTTCTCTTTTTTCCTGTTTAGCGCATGGTCCAGTCTTCTTTAGTCGTGGAGGACACTGTAAGCCTGGTCTTCATAAAAAAAGATTTATTTAGTTTAACCATATTCATTCGTTTAGATGTTCAACGGTTTATTCATCATCATCCATATTTAATGCGTGTACCAGTTCATACAGATATTCATCATCCACTCAGTAAGAAAAATTCTAATTTGAAGAATTATATTAGTATATAACACACTGTTACTATTTGTATTCTAGTTCGTCAGCACGTTATTCACGATATGCATTATCATCAACCAATTATCTATCGTAAACCGATCATATACAGACACCATCATGTTGTACCTCATGATACTTACGTGAGACGATCACATCATGTTTCATTACCAAGTCAACAGTACGCCATGGGTGGGTATCATCATGGTATTGATGATTATCACCATGATATACACTATGAACCACATCATTATGGGGGTTAGTTGAGGACATTTAGATTTGACGAATATAGTAGACAACAAAATATTTAGGAATTTATGGTAGTATGCACAGACAACATGGTTTTCATGCGGGTGATCTGGGTCATCATGGCTGGGGTTTCGGTAACACTTATCCTTATGGATTTAATATGTATGGTGCGGGTAAGTGAGTGATTACATCATTATTACTCTAACCAATTGTTTATACCGTTTTAGGTCATCAATGGTGGCCATCGCACAATGCATACGGGTGAGAAAATATTATTTTTCAAACATCTTATGTTCTCATGCGTTCTAATAGCTATGGTAGTGGATATGGTAGTGGTTACGGTTTTGGTGGTAATTCTTATCCATTTTTACATTGGATGCACAATATGAACGGAAATTATCGTCCATATCAAAACACATATTCGAATCCGTGGAGCGCAATGCAGAGTAACTATTTTTCTGTTACATTGTAAAAATTATTTCAAAAATATTTTCCTTTTTCTTGATTTATTTGATCATAATGTGTGGGGTGGTCATTCACCACTGGTCTCGTCAATACCAGGCGCTAGTTATGTGGGAACGGCAGCAGGTAACAAATGACTTTGTCCTGTTTCATAATACAATATCTTTCTCTGAAGGTTCAGGTCTACATGATGACCATGTTCGTTCAGTATTACCCGATTCACCAAGTAATCATCCAATAACAAGTCGCTCAGACTCATCTGCCCCATCACCATCGTCCGGTTTATCATCAGATATAGATTCTTTACGTAATCCACAGGGTCCATCACTGGACGCATCATTAGATCCAACAAAACGTGGTGTTTCTGCCCAATTCATTGATCCAATACCGAATCCCGCAGCACAATCGAATTCGTTAGATGAGCACAATATGGATCATCGAATGTTTAATCAACCACTCTTACCAGGTGATTCGTCGAAAGATACATTAGGTGAAGTTACTATTTACTTTCTCTATGTAAATTGATCTAATTACAGTCGGATTTTTCAGGTATGAATGCTGTTCAAACCCGATATTTTAATCCGACTGATCAGCAAGCACCATCATCTGTATTACAACAACAATCACAACTACCCGTCGTTAATGATGGACATGTTATTTTTAATAACAAAGAATATTCAACGAATCCGTTAGTGGTACAAGGATGGCAAGATATGGCCGCACAATCTCAGAACCTCTTACCAGATTCAAATGATAAAAGCAAAGTTTAGCTTCTACTGTAATGTCTTTTTTTCTATGTAACTACACAATTGAAGATATTAGAGTTTTGAGAAATAAATATTCAGAGTCCTGTGATAAGTGCTTTAGTAGCTAAGACAGCGAGTCACAAGATTATATATTCTGTTTAGTATGATTAGTATCGAGTTGAAAATAGAATGTACTCTAATGTGTTTTGATTAACGTTGGATAGAAAGAAAATAAAGACTCGCTGTCTTGGTCAATCGACAGAGAAAATGGAGAACATCTTCAAATATTTTTCAAAGTGAAGATTCTGTGAGGATCGTTGAAAAAGTAGCTGAAATCTATAAGCATTTACATAGCAATATGGAGGTGTTTTACTTGGGTAGATCGTAGATCGAAGAGTTGTGTTTAGGATGGACCCCCACATGTCACCTTCATTTTCAGCAGTTTCAACGATTTCAATAAACAGTTTCGTGAGCGGATTAAGATTTCGCCTCTATGCTATACTACCGTTGCAGCTTCCAGGAGATTCGATGCCGTGACGTAACTCTTAAAAATGGAGAATTTGTTTTTAAGTTCTAATTTAAAAGTGGACACGTCTGAATTAGCCGTTCACATGAAAAAACATACATATTGATATTGGAATCTTTGAAAATTTTTTGAGCTGGTCTTTCAAAGATCTGTACAAAATTTTACTTTTGAAATTAATTTTTTATATTACGATGTTTTCAGCTACCACTGTAGAAAATATTCAGAAAACAGCGGAGTGCATTCAATATTGAAGTAAATGATGTTAAAAAATGATACAGAGATGATGAGACACGCTCTAATCACAAAGCATACTAAAATTTCACGATGAAGTTTATTTTATGTTACATTTTTCTTGAATAATCAATCAGGTACCGAATACACGAAAACTAGCTTTTTGTAGCATGTGGACACTCGGCGTCATGAAGACGCTTCATCGAGTAAGAAGTGACATTGAACTGTCAATCAATCACAGATGCATTATTATGCATGCAGACTATACATTGTTTTACTCATTTTATGACAATGATTAGTACTATACTCGGTTAAATGGCTTTTGCACTCAGTGAGCTTAATTGAGAAAAAAATTATGTAAGTAATCTGTGTTTTAATAGAAAAGTTTAATTGATTTGAAATAAGATAAATGAGTTTGAGAAAAAAAGTTAATTAATTCAAAAACTTATTTCAAAGCAGAAAACTGAGCTCGAAAATATTTCCACTGGTTACCCGTACGCAAATGATGATGTCTAATTAAGACTTATTTTAAAATAAACAAGCAAACATATAATATGTTCGTGAATAAATAACATCCAAACAAAATTCTTTAATCTTTTGCGTAACGCATGGAAGGCTTCGTTTTGTATAATAAATATCCACCGTCTGACGGTTGTTTTGATTCCAATTGATTAACGCAAGTTGGTTAGTTTCTGTACCCAGGCGTCAAAAAAAAGTCTAGTATCGCCCGATTCATCTAGATTACTAGATTTTTACTCGATTGCAACTACTGTGTAACGACAATGGAAATCCAGTAATTGGGCGATTACCAGATTTTTTCTAGTTGCAACTATCGATTTATTACCCGATAATCGATCGATTTAATTATTACTCAATGCACCTGCAGACGTATCTAGTTAAAAGTCCCTTTTCCAACTAGTAATCTAGATGGCAACTAGTCGTGTATCGCCCGATTATAGACGAAATGTATTTAGATTTTTCCCATAGGTGATATTTGCTTTGGTACTTGAGTACAGAAAGTATCATTGTTCTGATCAGAGCAATGATAAATACTTTTAAATTGTTCGGTACAATATGGTGATACATTATTTTGTATCATTTATTTGTTAAAATTATTGCCATGGAAAGGTTCGTGTCAAGTACGATGAGACATAATGTGTAGAAGAAGAAATATTTGATACAATGGCAGCGTGTCTATCTTATTCACGCTCTACAACTTTATTACTTCAAAGAACTTTCTCTAGTTGTTATTATAGACATATTTAGTCATGATTACTCGATCCGGTTTAAATATCATTCAACTAACTTTTCGAGCTCATTACCTTATTTCAAATCAATTAAGATTTTTCGGTAAAACCAAGCTCAGTTGCATGATTTTTTTAGTTGAAAAAATCACGGATCCCATCGTTTCTAAGATGTAATAGGCAATACATTTATCTTTTTCACTGTCGTACTGATACATTAGAAACTATTATCAAAATTCTGTAGGACATGCTGCGTATCAGGTTAAAATTTCATGTTTGGTCATCGCACTAAACAAGCGTTTGGAAAGAAAAATATGATGACACGTGAGTCGCATCAATATTTGGTTGCTGGTTATTTTGTACGAAAACCGTTCAAATTATTCACTTAAATGAAGCTCTATTAATCCTTTTTCATTTCGATCATTCACTTATTGAAATATCCAGGACCTTGGCTATAAGGAGAGGAGGGAGAGAGAGTGTGCACTCCTGCTGCTTTTCAAGTAAATATTTTCTCTTTAAAAATCTCTTTTCTCCAAAAAATTTCATCTTTGCCCAGATTTGGTAGCGAATCGAATAGCGTGTTCAATTCTCTACAAAATATGTATATTGACTGTTTCATTGCAAAATCCGAAGAAAATCTTATGAAGTAGGAAAATTTAGAAAAAATAAGTTAAACAGCCGCCTCTTAAGTTTTCTCCGCTCAACATTAAAGCTGAAGTAGTTATCGTGTAGGCCTTGGAAAACTCTGTCTTTTATCTATGATTAAAAATTTTTTACGGCTAGAACTGAGGGCGTAAGAGTAACGATTTTTCCTTGAAGATTTTCTATAAATGATGATTTTTGGCCAGGAATTTACATCATTCGATAAAATAAGTATAGTCTAGTCAAACTTGAGCCTTTCAGATTGAATTATTTTTCACTTTGAAGACCAATGATTAGTCTATATTGTGGAATCGGTAAGATTTGAAAAAAAAACTTCTTTTCTTATCATATGTAGATAAAGCCGAAATCATTTACTCTTTTCGCGGATTTCCGATAAGTCAATCTTTGGAGTCGGATATTTTCACTCAAAACAAATTTTGTTGTATTCCATGAGAGAGATCACACTTGAAACTACAAAAAGTATACTCAAACCGCGCTCTGATGCTTGTGAAACCATTCGAAAAAATGTAGTTCTCTATTAGAAAAGGCATTATTTTTTCTGAATTTTCGTATTTCATAAGATTTCTCATTTTCCACCTTCGAATTTTGCAATAAAAAAGTAGAGAATTGTACGTGCTATATTTTGGTAAAAAAGTTTACTCGGTTAATTATAAGAAAGAAGAGAAAAATTGAAAATACCAGCAGTATAATACATTTTGAGCCATCCGTTATTGGACGTGAAATTAAATGAGCTCGGAAAGAAAAGATATTTGAACTTGAAGTGTTTAATTGGCTTTAAAATGAGAGAAATGAGTTCGGTAATTAATTTAAGATAATTAATTAATGATTTTGTCAATTACAAAGTATATTTAAGCAAAGTTTAGCTCAACGAGACAATGAAAGGACTGATTTAATTGAGAATGTACCGATGGGACATGAGTACAGACTGATGTAGGTATTTGAGCATAAAAACGTTATCAATTTATAGAAATTAAGCAAAGACTTGTGAATGTAAAATGTAAAAGTATGCTGTAGAAAATGTTCATTCAGTTCCATAGGCCCGTGGGATAATAAGTGGAAAGCGCCCAAAGAAAGTTAAATTAGCTTTAAAAAAAGAATGAATATTAGAGAAAAACTATTGTAATCTAGCACTTTTTTGGTTCCAAAACTATTCTTTCGTGTTAAATATACTACACAAATCATTAATTAATTATCGAGCTCATTTCTCTCTTTTTATTGTCAAAAATAAAATTAACTAAGCTCATTTATATCTTTTCAGAGTATAAATTACTGTCTGAGCTCAAAATTCTCATTTATTTAAATAAAATATAATTATATTACAATCGAACTCAAATATCTCGTTTTTCCGAGCCCATTTATTATTTTATCCTCTGTTATTTAACGAAAACGTGCTTTCTCCCATTTTTCCTTCAGAGAGAAAAAAAGCTCAAATTGATATCAATAATACTATTAATCTAAATTTATTTATTGCTTATTCATTTTTATCTTTATCTGTCACAGAGTCGTGCAATGAACGTCCGTTTAGGCGATTAAAACTTATCAAGAATCGTTTAAGGTCTATGATGACTGATGAAAGATTACTTCATGCTCGACAAAAGGGATTTTCTAACGGGTGGCCTAGAATAATAACACACTTTGGCAACTTATTTTCGTACACTTAACTGAGATTTTAAGACTTCATTCTACGCCCATTTGATAGAGAATTTTCTGCTCTACAAAATTCATTACCTTCTTTCATTATACATTATTTTATTATCTAAAATGATTGTGTATAGTAAGGATACATAAAGAGTATAACTGAGATTTATTATCAAAATTTTGATGGCTTTTTAGCTTTTGTATAATTTTTCGAGAAATAATATGCTAATTAAGAAAAGAGGATCCTATAAAAATGTTCAGTGGATTGAAGACTATCATCCAGACTACGATGCTTTTCCGTTTCGTCACTTCAATTCTAAATATTCTAGTGCACAAGTTAATTAGCATTTTCTGACAACGTGAGATTTTGAAAAAAGCAGGGAAAAGACTAACCAAATGACGCTGTGGAAGTGTGCGATATAGGAACAAGATCCCGCTTTGCGGCTACCTTGCGGTATAGGGTGCTGCCGAAGCAGTTTCGATAAGCCCGATATCTTCCCTACAGGTGATGATCTTCAGAGACGGTCACCCGTTCTTCTACTAGTCACTAAACTAGCTGTAGCTCTGGACAGAAGGCCAGCCTGACACAGAGTTCTTTTCGCCCAATTGCTCGAGCTCCCCATACACACTCACTAACCACATACTAGCACCGAAGTACCCGTGTATGTCACAACGTAGTGAGCATGCTATCGGACGGGTGATCCCAGACAATAGCCGTTAGT